TGTACCCTGTACCCTGTACCCTGTACCCTGTACCCTGTACCCTGTACGCTGTACCCTGTACGCTGTACCCTGTACGCAAAAATTTGTTAACACGATAACTTTCGAACAAGAAAAGTAATTCAAAATCTGACTTCACAGGATGATTGGGGGTGCCGAGGAATAGAAACCATTAGATTTTGAGCGATTTTGGTTGACAGGGTAAAGTGTCATGTCTGGTGTGATGCCCATGTCCATCCATGGGAAAAATTCAATTTTTCTTCCAAAAGTGATATTTAATGTATACTTAAACACTCAAAAATGTGTATTGGGGGGTTTTTGGGTACGAGAAAACCGAATATGACGTTAGTTTTGCGATACAATTCATTTTCGACACACTTTTCATACAAAAAATTCAAAAAATTTGGATTTTTGTATGGAAGCCATGCCTGTATGATATCGTAATGAGCTGAAACTTTGCACAGGTTATTTTTATCACACATAAATACCATTCCGAAAGTTTGAAGACATTTCAACGAATATTAGGGGCACCTCCCGAACAAAATTTTGGATTTTTCGCTCTAAAACGAAATTTTGTATGGGAAGTACCCTTAATATGCATTGAAATTTCTTCAAACTTTCAGAATGTTAACTTTTTGTGAAAAAAATAGCCTCTGCAAATTTTCACATGATTACGATACGAGGGTTGCTCCATAATTTTTTTTAAAAACATATATAACACAGTTGTTTTTTGTCGAAAATGGTTTTATTGTTTTTCAAAATATTCCCCGAGATGATCGATACACTTTTGCATTCGATGAAACCATTTGTCATAGCATTCGTGCCACTCCGAAACTGATATCTCCAAAACGTGTGTTTTGAACGCTTCAACTGCTTCTTCTGGTGTCGAAAATCGTTGACCACGTAGTTTTTTCTTCACGCTTGGGAACAAAAAAAAGTCATTGGGTGCCACGTCAGGACTGTACGGTGGATGACCCATCAGTTCGATGTTTTGACCGGTCAAAAATCGAGTAGTTTGAAAAGATGTGTGAGAGCTCGCATTATCGTGATGAAGAATTATTTTGCGACGGTGGTTGTTTTTTCTTATTTCACCAAACACTTCGGGCAAACAAATGGTGGTATACCAATCAGAATTGACGGTCTTACGATCCTCTAGTGGAACGGTTGCCACATGACCACTTCTCCCGAAAAAACAGGCGACCATTCGCTTCGAAGTGCTTCTTGCTCGAACAACTTTCGTTGGGTTATCTTCATTTTGGAAGACCCATACAGTCGACTGCTGTTTCGTTTCGGGCTCATAGGCATATATCCACGATTCGTCACCAGTGACGATTTTATTATCGTCTTTTGAAGCACCACGATTGAATTTCTTGAGCATTTCTTTACACCAACTCACACGAGCCATTTTTTGTTCATCGGTCAATTTATGTGGGATCCAACGAGAGCAAATCTTTTTTACGGCTAAATGTTCATGCAAAATTGTATGTATGCTGTGGGATGAAATGCCCAAAGATGCCTCAATCTCACGGTAAGTCACATGACGATCTTCCATAATCAGTTTTCTGACAGCATCGATGTTTTGTGGCACAACAGCCGATTTTGGACGACCTGTATGAAACTCGTCTTTGAGCGAACTACGACCGCAACGGAATTCTCGGTACCAGTTATAAATTGTCTGAAGGGTTGGTGCTTCATTGCCAAAGGCCAAATGAAGTCGATCGAAACACTGTTGTTGAGATAATTTACTTCGAAAATCGTAGTAAATCATTTTACGAAAATCTTCACGTGTAAAATTCATTTTTTTGTTGAGTCGCAGTTTACCAGTCACTGTAAACAATACAAATAGCGTTCGTACGACAAAAGGTTCAGGGCACGAATACATACCAAAACATCAAACTTTACGAATATGACAATGGTTTACATCGGGCAACACTATAAGTACCATTTTAAAAAAAATTATGGAGCAACCTACGTATCATATAGGCATGGCTCCGATACAAAAATTCCCATCTTTAGTAGTCTTTGTAAGAAAAGTGCTTCAAAAATTATTTTTATCTAAAACTAATGTCAGATTTAGTTTTCTTTGATGTCGTGGATCACAGTGCGGAAAAGTTCATCTTACGGATGTAAGACATTTTATTTTATTGTATAATTTCACAAGATCCACGATGACTCCATATCAAGCAAAAGGTGCTTCTAGCAGAAAGACCAAAAACAAGTGCAAATGTAAGCATGGTCGACGAGAATCACAAGTCAAAGTGAAGCAAGAGATCAAGGAGGAGCCAAAAGATGGTGCTGAATTGATTCAATACTCGCCACCACCGTCACCAGTCGCACCATCGATTGTCAATATCAAATCAGAAAGCGAGAGTGACAATGAGCTCGTGGATATTAAAATAGAGATCAAGTGTGAAGGTGAATGCTCGAAGAAAGATTGCGACTCGGCAAAGGAAGCTGGAAACATGAATGGAAATGAAAGCAACGGCCCAATTGGTGAAAATCAAAACGCTCCAAAGAAAAACTCAAACATTGATCGCAAACGACGTCTGCGTGAAAAGAAGAAAGCACGAAAAGGCAGATCTTCAAAACAACCAGCAGCAAAGGGACCGAAGAAACATAAGTGTCATTTTTGTGATTATGCTTCATCGTATAAATCACATATCACAATACATATTCGAACCCACACTGGCGAGAAGCCCTTTGAATGTGAAATATGTGCCTTGGCTTTTGCAGACCAAAGCAATTTGAATAGACACAAGAAAATCCATGTTCCAAAATGTCCGTTCAGTTGTTCAAAGTGTCGTCGTGGATTTACAAAAGAAGCTGAAAAGATCAACCACGAAAATGACTGCAAAGCTCACCAGTACGCATGCTACTTATGTGGAACTGCCATTTGGAAAGTGTCACAACTAAAGCGACACATACGAATCCATAGTGGCGTTATGCCATTCGCATGCCATATTTGTTCCAAAGCATTTGCAAGAAATTATGATCTAAAGAAGCATTTACGGACTCATATAAAACAACTGCCTTTTGCCTGCATCAAATATGGTCAACGATTCGTTCAAGAAAATGAAAAACAATTGCATGAGGACCGATGTATCGCCCATTTTCCCAAGAAGAAAACAAGAAGAAACACGAAAAACACTGCAATCGTCGCCTCCATCAGTGCTACTTGTGTGAAGAAACAAAGCAATCTTCACAGAAATTAAAGCGGCACATGCGAAGTCACCAAAAGGGGAAAGACCATTTCCATGTGAAGAATGTGACGCACGTTTTTTTGTGCGAGATGATGCGAAGAAACGTACGAAAATCGTTCATCGTCAAATGAAGTAACCGAATTTTTATCCGAAAGCATTTAAATTACAACAGATTTTTCACAACCCTTTTGATATCTTTTTCTATAAGATTAAAATGACAGAGTAGCCATTACTTATATTCATACACAATTCCTTCAACTTAAACACAACAATATACAAATCGAAATATTCTTAAAATAAATCGCTAATCAACCGAATTTTCAAAAATTGAATGAAAATAATGAAAAAGACATTGTTGAATAAATCAAATAAATTTGAATGAAGTAGTCCAGTCTACAGTTTTTATTCGATTTTCATATTAAGAAAAACATGCTATTTTCGTCATTATGAGTTTCCATCAGATTAAAACCAGCCGAACAAAATGTTTCGTTCAAATTTGAAATGATTTTATTGATTCGAGATTTAGTATTAATCTAAATGTTTGACGAGTGTCGCCGTCATTGTGTTTCAATTGACTAGAATCTATTTGTTTAATAGTAAGTTTTATAAAACACGATAAATATAATTATTAATTATATTTAAAGTATTGCGAAATTCCTCCTGTGAATAAACACATATTTGGTGAATTACCCTTGCCGTTTTTGTTCGTTGCCCTCATGTCGATGAGCATTGTGAAATTTTACAATTAATTTAATTTTTGTTAAATACAAAATAATGCTAAGATTCAAATCAAATATTCAGAATTTTGATTAGGTTTTCGGGGGAAGTACTGCATTTAACAATAGGTTGCTGGGCGCTGGACGTACAATCGCATTGAAGAAGTCACATGGGAAGCATATTCATTCTTTTCTCTAAATTTGTTTCCATAAAAATGATTCTGAAAGTTTTATAAGAGAAGAATACAGTTTCGCCTTTATTCCTTCTCCATACAAAATTAAAATTAACTCGCCAATTGGACTCTAGTATTTCTTTGTCGCATCCAACAGTTGCTGCTAAGAACTTCTTTTTAACAGAGACTACTCTGTAATTAATTCATCACTCTATATGAAAATATCCGATAGTTTCACTTCATGTATCTGCTGAAAATGTCTGATATTTTCATATAGCATGATGGATTAATTACAGAGTAGTCTCTGCATTTTAAATGCACTGCTTTCCCAGATACGATAATGTTAGCCAATGATTTCTGAGTATTGTGTTTACACAAAACTGCGTTTTTTCTCTAATTTTTGTAAGTTTTTTTTCTAATTTTGAATAGATTTTTTTGGATATGTGCCTTCAGTTTATCGGTGTTGTTGTGTGGTTTATCAATTCAAAATACATGGTCGAAATGGCGTGATAATCCAGTAACAATGAGTTTCACCGAGAAGGCTTCTCCAATTTCGGGTATGTATATTCCGGTCATGTAACATTCCAAACTAGTGACTTACTCCAAATAACTGTACCAAAAATATAATTGTACCATGCTTAGATCGAATGGTACCTCACTCAATCTAATTGTACCTTGCTAAAATATTCACACATTTTTCGAAAAAAAAAAATGGTACTCCAAATATTGGAATTTTTGTATGGGAGCAATACTTATTTTTTATCCGATCGTCTTGAAAATTTCAGGAAGTTATTTTTTATCGGAAAAAATAAGGCATATCAAATTTCAAGAAATTCCGACTATAACTAAAAAATTTCATTTTTACAAAATTCACACTTTTTTGAAAAATTATTTTACTCCAGATATTGGAACTTTTGTGTGGGAGTTATACATATTTTCTATCCGATGGTCTTGAAACTTTCAGGGAGAAAGGTACATTTTAGGTACAATTATTATCAGCCATAAAAATTAAAAAAATATCTTTGAGTTTTTTTTTTCGTCATTCTATCACAATATTGAGTTAGCCCGAAATGTGGGCTCCAAATATTATCCAAACGAGTGAGGTACAATTAAAAATAAATTGCGGTACAATTAAGTTCATTTTTGGTACAATTATTATCAGCAATAAAAATTTAAAAAATATCGTTGATTTTCATTTTTGCCATTTTTTCGGGAAACCCCCCGTGAATTTTGGAGGACATGCTCTGCAGAAGAACACCATCGAAGTAATGACTTTATGATGATGTTATTTTGAAGGTACATTTTAGGTACAATTATTATCAGCCATAAAAATTCAAAAAATATCTTTGAGTTTTATTTTGGCTAGTTGACCGGCAAATTGAAGTGCCCCGAAATTTGAACCTCAAATATTAGCCAAACGAGTAAGGTACAATTAAAAATAAATTGCGGTACAATTAAGTACATTTTTGGTAAAATTATTTAAACCTAGTTCCAAGTTTCGACTTTCACATGTGCGGACATTCGAATATACATCCGAACTAGATGGAATCACAATTTTCGATCCGATTTCAATTTCACAAAAAATTTGGGTAAAGCAGTAATAACAATTCTTTACTTCTTGCAATCGAGAGATGAAAATTCATCCATTTTATTCCAGAACCCAGCCATCAAATGTTGAGATTTACTTTCGCGATCATGAAGTGATCACAACCAAACGATCTGAAATGTACACAATAAGCAATTTCTTAGCAAATTGTGGTGGATTACTTGGATTATTTCTGGGCGTATCAATGCTTAGTGTGATTGAATTTGTTTATTATTCAACTCTTCGGTTGTACTGGTCACTTCGACAATGGAAAACCGATCATACTGTCGTTCCGTTTCAAAGAAATCTTATCAACACCGTATCCATTGACATTCCAAATTAAATTACTAACAATCATGGGCTCTTGAAGAGCTCGGTTATTGAGAAATTCTTTTCTTTTGTGTGTTCTATAAATTAAGTGGTAAATATTGTTTGAAATATCACACTTTTGAGTGACAGAGTGTAAATAATAGGATGTATAGTGTATAGCACAGATTGATCTTGACAAAACTATATTATCTGATATGTGAAAATTTTAAAAGCTTATAATTTGACACATTTTTTTATCCGTTCTATGCGGACTGAATAAAAACTTAAGGCTGGGTACGAAGTTCAGAAATAAAAAAAAAACCAGCACGTGTTTAGCATTGGCGCGTGTCACTGTATCACCTAATTCTTACGAATATGAAACGGAAAACCAACGGCACACATAAACGCAAAATATATAATAACTTCAACAGCGCCTAAGCTATTTGTCGATCACCAGTATGTTCTAGTCGTTTTAGCGGTGAACTTGTCCGAGAAAAATAGATTGATATTGTAATATTTTTGGTTTCCAAAGTGAAAAAAGTTTTATTTTGATTGGAATTTCATTATAGTTTTTCATTTTCAGAATAAAATCGTGAATAAAAATATTTCAATTTTTTTTCAAACAAAAATGACCACACCAACATGTTTAATTGAATTCAAGAACAATCCCGAGAACGTTGTGTACGCCGATAGCGTTGCCACTTGTGTGGTACAATTAATATTACCAGAGAAAATAATTGTCGATGGTGTTTATATTTTGATATCGGGAGTAGGATATGCTAAAAAGAAACAATACAGTGGCAGACGCAGACGTCAGGCAAAGTTTGAATGCAACCAGGTTTATTTGAATGAAAGAATGATCTTCATTAACACTAGTAATTGAGTTTTTCATCATTTCATTTGGAAATTCTTTGATTTTGATTTGATCGTTCTTTTTATTCGCATTTTGAAATACAGGGGGAACGATACTTACATCCGGAACACATATTTATGAATTTCCTTGTAGATTTCCATCTAATCTACCAACATCATGTAAGATCCGTGTGAGATTTCAAAAATGCAACCACTTTGAAATTCAATGATTACATTTTTCAGGCGAAGGAAACATTGGCTATAAAAGATATACGACAACATTCACACTTAAATTGCCAATAGATTCATATAATTTTGTAGTACCATTCACTGTGATACGTCCAATTGACTTAAACACAATGCCACATCTACGAGTAATCTAGTCTATTTTTAACGAATTTTAAAATAACTTTCTAACTTCTCTATCGTATTTTCATTTCATTCAGCAACCGATCTATCAACAATATGAAGATTATTCGTTGTGTCATATGCTTTTTTGCTGCAGTTATGCATTTGTGCAATACAGCATTGAAATTCCAGTAGGCGGTTATGTTCCAGGGCAAAATATAAATATTAAAATAAAAGTAACCAAATCCGAAAATCAAACGATCCGTGAATTCGTGGCAGAACTTTTCAAAGTGAGAATCAGTGAAACACAAACATTTACCAAATGTCAATGGCATGATTCAATTCAAATTTTCAAAACTGAAGTCTTATTTATACATAAAAAGCTTTCGTTCGCGTTTTTTTTTTCAGATAATCGACTACAAAATGACAGAAACTGGTTTATTTGTTATGTTTCCGGATACGATACATGTCAACGAATCTTTTTTATTGGGAACTGATAAAGTAGATGCATCAGAAATATCGCAAGAAGGAACCGTGCACTTAAATATTCGTGTACCAGCTGTGCCACCAACAGATCTACATCCTGACGTCGTTATAAAAGATCAATACATACTTCAAGTAAGAATTATTTTTTATCTAAATTGTGGTGCTTGGGCTGTACGAAGTATTTAACTTTATTTGTGAATGAAAAGGTATCGGCTAATGGAGGTTCTCACAGCCTGGATTTACAAAAATTTAAAATTCCGATCATAATTGGGTCATATCCTTTGCAAGACGCACCATCACCTCTTCCTAGCAATTCTATGCAATCAAATGGACTAGCCCTTGATGACAGCGCTTCCGTATCACCAAGTGCTCCATCATTTCCGGAGAATTTATCGGATGCTCCAAGTGATGGTATATAACATTTACTTCGATTTAATTCGATTCCATTACATAAATAATTACATAAATTTTTATTTATAGAACCTCCACCAACATATGAAGAAGCCAACTATTTGAACGATGGCTCGTTCAAGCCAAAGTATCCATCATTCAAACGTAAAACTTCGTATTCAAATTGATTAAAAGCACTTTGCATTTTGTTCGAAACTAGAAAAATAAAAGGAAATTCTAACAAAAGGTTCTGCCAATTTTTTGTTTTTAAAGTAAAAAAAATGTCTTGTCTGGGAAATTTTATGTTTTCTCACTGTGACCAATTGTTGGCAATACCAGTGCTTTTTGCATTTAAAAATGTGTCTTTCTTTATAGCCTTACATACTTGGTGACAAACTATAACCAAAATTCTTGGTGTGTAAAAAATGTTTTTACAGAAACGAGTACTCTCTGCAAAAAAGTTATTTGGCAGTTAATTTGTGATTGATGCCATTTGAACTTGTGCCTTATGAGCAGAGTATCAAGGCCAAAGCAAAAGTTTTCGGGTTCAATCGATGCAATAATAGAAACATATGTTTGACTACGACACGGCGTAAGTCCATAAATAAACTACATGAACTCTGTGCTTGTCTTTAGCGTCAATCGCTGATTGCGCAGCGCTCAAATTCGGATACGCAACCATCTCAGCTAATTCTTGCGTATATGAAACGGAAAACGAACGGTACATGCTACAAATAAACGTAAAATATAAAATTGCTTGAAAAGCTTCCAAGCTATGTTATCGTCGACAGTATATTTTATTCATTTTACCGGTGAACATTGTGACTTTATTTATAAAAAGAATATTCTTACAAAAGACGTAATTTTTTGTTTTCCAACGTGAATAAAAGATAAGAAGTTTAAAAAAAGAAAATCACGTTTAAAGTGATGAGAATTGATTGAGTTTAACAATAAATCGAAAAAAATGTCTACACCAACAAATGGACCAACATGTTTCATCGAATTCGAGAACAATCCGGAGAAAGTTGTGTACACTGGCACTGTTGCTATCGGTACAGTGCGATTGACATTACCAGAGCCGATAACTGTTCGTAGTGTTTTTATTGAAATATCAGGTGTTGCGTGTGCGAAAACCACAAAAAGGCGCAGAAATTACAAAAGCGATTGGGTCTATTTGAATTACAGAGAGATTTTTATTGGCGGTATAATTACATTTTTTTTTTCTATTCGAATGCCGTTGATTGTTCTTCGTTTTAAAATACAGGCGAAACCATACTTACACCCGGAACCTATACGTATGAATTTGTTTGTAGTTTTTCATCTGATCTACCAACATCATGTAAGATCCGTGTGAGATTTCCAGGCGGAAACTGTTTGAAATTCAAAGTTTTCTTTTTTCAGGCGAAGGAATTATTGGGTATAAAAGATATACGGCGACTTTTACACTCAAAATGCCAACAAATTCTTACGATTTCGCAGAACCATTCACTGTTATACGGCACATTGATCTTAATACAATGCCACATTTGCGAGTAATATATATTCATTCTATTTTTAACAAATTCAAAATAAACTTGCAAGTTTATGTTTGGCACACGTGTCTTTTTTGCATAGGAACCAATCTATAAACTGTATGAAGAATTTTCGATGTATAAGTCCCTGTTGTGTTGTGTTTCGGAATATATGAAATTCGCTGTTCATATTCCAGTCGGCGGATATGTTCCCGGGCAGAATATTAACATTCAAATCAATGTGTACAAATCAGCCGATCATGTTATACACGAATTTACAGCTGAACTTTTCAAAGTGAGAATATATTCAGTTTTTGAATGAATTTGGATTTTGAGAGTTCCGTTTACGATGGCTGATCCCGGGATCAATGGCATTTTGTAATCAAAATCGATCCAAATTAGCATTTTCAGACATTAAAAAAATGAAATATCTTATCTGATCGAGCTCATCACCAATTTTTATTCATTCATATGTCTCTATCACTCTTGTTACAAAAGACTCGACGTGATCGTTTCCAAGCTCATCCCGATGATAAACTTCACTGTCTGCGAGTGCCTGTTCGGATCTGTTCTGGGATCAGTGCTGCTAAAAGCCACTGCCAGGAACTTTTCGAGCTATTATTTGAACATAACTTTTGTTTTCTCCAGGAAATCAACTACAGCATGACATCCACCAGTTCAATATTACCGAACAAGAGTCGTTTCAGTGAATCCTTCACTTTAGGGAGGGCAGACGTGAATGCATCAGAAATATTGGCAGAAGGAACTGTTTTCTTAAATATTCCAGTGCCAGCTGTACCACCGACAGACCTTCATTGTGACGCCGTTATAAAAGATCAATACATGCTTTGCGTAAGAAGGATTAAAATATAATTTTCATTTTTAAAATCTTTTCAACTCCACTTTAATGTCCTTTTTTTAAATCACTTTTTTAAAGATTTCGGCAATAAGCTACAAAACACATCAAATTAAAATTCCGATCATAATTGGATCATATCCGTTAAGAGATGATCCGATACCAAGTGCTTCATCTTTTTCTGACAGTGCAATACTGTCGAGTGCTCCACCTCTTTTTGAGAATACTGCCTTAACGCCAAGTGCTCCATCATTTCCGGAGAATTTATCGGATGCTCCAAATTATGGTATACAATTAGCTCGATTTTAAAAGCTTAGATTTTGACAAATCAAACATTTATTTAAAGACCCGCCACCAACCTACGAAGAAGCCACCTATCTGAGCAATACAAGCAGTAACTCATTCAAACCAAAGTATCCGTCATTTAAACGTAAAACATCTTATTCAAATTGATTACACTATAGTTTTGCACGTAATAAAAAATTATTATGATAAGTTAATAATAATAAGCATTCCCACCAATATCGTTATTAGGATCGGAACCTAATAACGTTATTATGATTTTATTAACTTATCATGATAAAATCATAATAATGTTATTAGGATTACATCCTAATACTTATTATGTTTTATCATAATATTTATTAGGATTCATCTTAATAAATACCGTGGACACTTCACTTGTCTGAAGTAGCGCCATCTGTTGAAAATTGTTTTTGGCTGAATAACAATATGCTATCAAGTGAACACGGTATTTATTAAGATCAATCCTAATAAATATTATGATAAAACATAATAAGTATTAGGATGTATAATAATTATCATCCTAATAAAAATTTATTACGATATCGCAAAACGCAAAACTATAGATTACACGGCTTGATAAATTTTTTATGTTTCATATTTTTTGACATTTTGTTAAGAATTTTATAATGTGATCGTAACATTGTATTAGCGAATAAAATGCAAAGAATAATACATACCTATTCGGCGACAAAGGTGTATTTGGCCAGAACTAAAGAAATAAAATGTCTTACATCCGTAAGATGAACTTTTCCGCACTGTAATCCACAACATGCATTTATTAAAAATCTTTCACTCAAAGAATTCACGAGAAAACTGAATCTGACATTAGTTTTACGATACAAATAATCATGTGAAAATTTGCAGAGGTTATTTTTTTCACAAAAAGTTAAGATTCTGAAAGTTTGAAGAAATTTAATGCATATTAAGGGTACTTCCCAAACAAAATTCCGTTTTTGAGCGAAAAATCCAAAATGTTGTTCGGGAGGTACCCCTAATATGCGTTGAAATGTCTTCAAACTCTCGGAATGGCATTTTTGTGTGATAAAAATAACCTGTGCAAAGTTTCAGCTCATTACGATATCATACAGGCATGGCTTCCATACATAATTTCAATTTTTTTTGACATTTTTGTATGAAAAGTGTGTCGAAAGTTATTTGTATCGCAAAACTAACGTCATATTCGGTTTTCTCGTACCCAAAAACCTCCCAATACATATTTTTGAGTGTTCAAGAATACATTAAATATCACTTTTGGAAGAAAAATTGAATTTTTCCCAGACATTAGGTTTGAGCTATGGATATAGCGGCTGCTATTTCATAGCTGCTATTCATAGGCGCTATTTATCTCGTTTTAATGCATTTATGCATATTGTGCGTTATTTTCTACATCTCTCTCGTACTCACATTCAAATGTACAAAAGAATAGTAGGCTATGATATTCCTACTCGGTGTTACACACAGCACACGAATTAAATAGCGCCTATGAATAGCACCTATAAAATAGCAGCCGCTATATGCATAGCTCGAGCCTAATGTCTGATTTTTCCCATGGATGGCCATGGGCATCACACCAGACATGACACTTCACTCTGTCAACCAAAGTTGCTCAAAATCTAATGGTTTCTATTCCTCGGCATCCCCAATCATCCTGTGAAGTCAGATTTTGAATTACTTTTCTTGTTTGAAAGTTATCGTGTTAACAAATTTTTGCGTACAGGGTACCACGCACATACATTCGGACATCGAAAAAACGCTAGATTCGTGTTCCCTGGCTCCTAAAACACCCAGAAAACATGTTTTTTGAGGGTGTTAATTTTTCGACCGATTCCAATACTTTACCTTACACACTAGGTGTGTGCGGAAAAGTAATAAATAGCTGTCCTTATAGCATTTCTCAATATATTTGTTAAGAAGATTTCATAGAATAGAGATATTCTCAATAACTTTTGCATGTAAACTACAGTATGTTTCATTATAGAGAGAGGTTGATTTAACTACCACAAATTTCAAATATCCTAAAAATGTTTTTGGTGTTGCCATATGAGACTCTAAGCTACTACGCCAATTAACAATGACAGCTCTCAAATCAGTACAGTGTTTATTGTGCAACGAAAACATTATTTCCGAACATTTTCATTCACGGTTTGAAGCCGTTTTTCTGCATTTGCATCCAAAAGGACAAAGAATGTCGATCACATCGACTGCTAAATACATTAAAAAGTCAAAAGGGTTCGTAATAAAGTGAATCCAGCAGTATAAGCATGAAAAAAAAGTGAACGACCAGCCCAATCTGAAGCCAAACTGAGCCTCCTCGCAACAGGAAGATAAACGGAGAGTCAAGTTGTTCGATAAAAATTTAGGTATGTTGTTGAGCCAAGGTGTTGAACGGCTACGCCGTCTTAAAATAGAGGTCTCGCGCTCTACTATCAGGAGAAGATTAGATGTTGCCGGTGTTCGTTATCGCAGTAAATTGAAGAAACCGCTTTTGACAGAAAACCAGAAGAAAAAGGCACTGACGGGGCAAAGCAAAATTCAAGAAGAGATTGGAGCGAAGTTATATACACTGACGAGTCATTCTTTTGGCTGGTGAATAGCACTACCCATGCCTAGTCTAGAGCCCAAAAGAGAATGGTCGTTCGCACGGTAAAGTATCCGAAAAAGGTGCATGCTTATGGTTGCTTTTGTGAAGCTGGTTTTGGAAAGTTGACCATATTCACGGGGATTCCAAGCGCCGTGAGGATGAACCAACATTATTCATCGACACCGTTACCCATCGCTAAGAAGTTCTATGGCAACCACAATTCGAATTGGCTTCTATTAGAAGACAACGATCCAAAACACAAAAGTCGTCTATGCAATGCTTGGAAAGAGGAAAATGACATTAAACAAATGGACTGGCCGCCACAGTCACCCGATTGCAATCCGAACGAAAATTTTTGGGCTATTATTAAGGCATGGCTTCGTGGTAAAACATACCGCAATTTGAAGCAGCTCAGTTCATTCATTCAGCGCCAGTGGAAAGGTTTTCAAAGCGAATATGCTGAAAATTTGAGCAAAAGTATGCCGAATAGATGTGCCTGTGTGATCGAAAAGGCAGGAGAATGGATTAAATATTAATTTGTGGCGCCGTAGCTTAGATACTAAATAGAATGTATATAAAATAATTTTGTAAAACTCTTGAGTTTTATTATAAAAAATCAACCTCTCTCTATAATGAAACATACTGTAACTAAATACAACGTTCGTAAATATCAATATCACCATTTCATTCGAAAATCAATTACGGCAACTGGGAATATTGCAATTAAGTAAATAAAAAAAATAACAAACGACACAAAATGAATGTGATATGTCCAATTAACTACTCACTATTATCTAAAAGTTGTTTATCTCATGGAGTGTGCATTTTGTTGAAAATATGGTAATATTTTGTAATATGGTATTCGAAGGATTTCTGTAAACGCACTCATTAATTGCATATGACAATTAACTGACGGCTGGACAATGACCTTGGACAATGCACTTTTAGTTTAATAAAAACCTTCTCGTTCATACACTCGACCTAACGAGACGTATTTTATTGCAGCGCTCTGAAAATATATCTTTCATTACAGTCAACACTTTTGATATCATATTTCAGTAGTAATTCACAACACATTTTATACCCGCTTGTAAATTGCAAAACTTACATATCATGTACATTACACAAATAAGCTGTATACCGTTGAAATGTGACTACAAATAGACGTAAATTATAAACAAAAAACTTTCTGCTTTCAAAATGTACCAAGAACTTTATTATCTCTGGGTTAATGATGATTTTGCAAGACAATTGAATTATTTTACTATAAATGCTTTATTTTAATGCCTAAAGATGAAAATCAGAGAGTTTGATCCGCAAAAGACAAAGTGTGACGTTCGGTACAAGAGACGATGACAGTGTACACCAACGATTGGAAACGCTGTAGTTCAGTGTTTAATTGAGTAGGGCGGCGCCACCTTCTATACATACAAATGTCCATTTAAATCAGCGCCATCTACGCTAAAACATACTTTTGGTTGAAAATAAAACGCCATCATATTCCGACATTGGTGTACACTGTACACACAGAATGTGACTTATAAATTATAAGTTATAATCGCTGAATTTTCAAACTGAGTGTGAATATGTTTCGCGCTGAATTTCAAAGAATAAAGACAGTGACTAAATAACATTCATTAAGGCTCCATTTGCTAAGAGTTAAATCTTTTATATTGAAAAATTTAATTCTTCCTTCGTCAAGTTTTTCAAACATTTTTGTATTATCTTAGTTTATTCGAGCTCTGAACATTTTTACGTTTTTACTTTTCTGCACACCTAGTGTAGGAAAGGTATTGTATTAGGCCAGAAAATTAAAGTCATCCAAAAACATGTTTTCTATGCATATTTAATGTAGAAAACACGATTGGAGATGATTTTGGTGCATATTAATGTGCGTCGCTGTGTGTGATGTGTCCTGTGTCCTGTGACCTGTGACCTGTGTCCTGTGTCCTGTGGCGTGTTGCCAAAATTTGTTAACTCGATAAATCTTCTTCCAAAAACTCAATTCAAATTCTGACTTTGCAGGATGATTTGGGACTACTAGGAGACGTGCTGATTAGTTTTTGAACAATATCTGTTGACCGGTGTAATTTTTTTTGGTCCGAATGGAATATCCACATCCATACATTTTACTTTTTTGATCATTTTTCAACCATTTTGGTGACACGATGGTTTCGTGC